TCAGCAGAGCTCCTGGCTGTGCTGGCTGTGGCCTGAATGAGCTGGAACTGGTGTCTTCCACCCCTGGCAGACAGTGCAGTCGGGCAGGAAAAGGCTCCTGTTCTCTATAGGAAGGCAGCACCACAACTGGTCTGGGTTGCAAAGCATTTGGGGAAGATGCCAGTCTTGCCATTGCAGCGTCCTTCGAGCCAGTCCTCATTCACTGGGAAAACATAAAGGAGCAGGATGAGCCCTGGCCCACGTGAGTGGGGTTAGTGAGACTTTTCATGGCTGGGATTTAACTCTGGGCAAAACCCAGTGCAAGCCTGTACCTCCTGAGAGTATGAGCCTGAGACAGCACTGGAGAAGCCATCTATTCCCCAGTCCCTCCCTGGAGCAGACTCCAAAAGCCTGCCCCAGTACAGCCTGCAGACAGAACTGGGGAGCTACCTTCAGAGAGAATATCCAGCACGTCTCCCTTGCTGAACTGCAGGTCCCCCGGTCCCTGTGCAAGGTAAGAGTGCTGAGCCAGCATCCGGTAGAGGACGGGTCTGCCCGAGTGGGTGTCTGAGTCCTACAGGAGAAAGTCAGCATGGGGGTTGCAAGGCAAAGCAGAGATTTGAGTCCAGCACAGCAAAGAAGCTTGTCACAGCCCACGTACCTGGCAGCAAAGCGTCAGCCTGCCATCTGTCAGCTGCTGCCACATCTTCCCTAGATCCTCCTCTCCCAAAACTGCACCCAGTTCTTTGCCATCCGAATGCCTGTAGCTGCAAGGGTTCATTAACACGGCTCAAATCATCTCACTTAAAGCCAAACTTTGAGGCAAGCCTAGCCCTCTAACATCTTCAGTCTCCAAAGTCCCCTTTGTAAGCCAGCTCTGAGCTCGTCACCTTGCACAATGGCATGGGGCCACCCTGCGTGCTGTGGGCAGAAACGGCACTGTCAGGGAGTGACACTGTCACCTCCTCACACACCTACTTGAGGGGAAGATCCTAAACACTCCTGACAACACTGACTGTGTGCCCCCAGGGATGTCAGTCAGGGAGACCTCATCCCAGGACCAACTCCCAAAGTACTCTGCATTGATCCTAGTGTATCTCAAAGGCTGAGCTGAGTGGGAGAAAATCCAATATACAGCAGCCGCATCTGCACAGAATTTTCCTTCTGTTCCCCCATTTCTTGACCATGGTACAGTTTCATGGGAAAGACCCTTTGGGCCTCCAAAGCCCATGGAGCACACACTGTTCTCAAAACCAAAAGCCATGGTAAGGTTAGCCCTGCAAGGAAGGTTGTGTGCTCACATCTTTGCTGAACCTCTGCTAGAGTGCTTTGACCCCAATTAAATGTTCCCAGGGTACGGGGGAACACGCAGGTCTGTATCCTCGGGGGAACGGCTGCTGCTGCCCTGTCACGCACGCTCATGCACCAGGAGTGCCGGAGGGCCCGGCTGTACCGCAGCATACCTCAGCTTCCCTCGCTCTGCCTGCTGGCCGAACCGCTCCCTCAGCAGAGCCCGCAGGTCCGGCAGAGACGGTACCTCGCCTGCCCTCACCACCACAGTGCACTCACAACACACTCTCAGCACAACAGGTCTGTCCGTGCTGGATGAAGCTTCTCCGCAGGTCGGTGGGATCTGCTGAGAGATGTGGCACCGTGGACAGTCTGGTTATTCACGACTCTCATATCAAGAGAGATGACAGACACAACCCTTCATCTCAGTGGTACCACGTAACGGTAGCGCACCATCAAAATGCAGATCTGAATTTCAGAGGGGGAACTACAAATTCAAAGCCTGGGGTCAAATGTTCCTCCCATGACCCAGGAAGCCTGTTTCTGGGTCCAACTGTACAGGTACCTCCCAAACCTGTATGAGCGGGGCCCCAATTCCTCCAGCCAGCTGGAGAGGTGCAGCCAAGTCCCCATGTTCTTCTGCCTTCTGTCTGAAGTACAGCTGACAAAAAATTACTCCAGAAGCCCTACAAAGAGGGGTGGCAAAGACAAAGGGAGCAGAGCTGATCTGCAGCTGGCACTGCCAGAGAGGTGCTCTCCCCAAGCGGACACAGGAGAGATTCCAGCTCCACCACACACAGTGGCTGGTAATGACGTGGAGGCGCATCAGAGGACATCGTCCCAGAAGAACGCAAATATGAATGAATTGTGGTACCCAGACTGACAGGGATAGAAAATGCCACACAGAGGAGGGGGAAAGGGACAGCAGGTAGTTCAAAGACAGCTCTCTCTTGCAAAATGGGCTGCAAAGTGCGTGCCTGAGAACATCGCTGTGTCAGGGGCTCTTGGCTCCGCGGAGGGTGCAAAAGGGCACTGCCCTGGTAAGCCTCAACCTTGGGCTGCCTCACAAAATTGTATGGTCACAAACTTGGGAGTGGTGGAGGAGAGACCATATGGGAGCCTCTCTTTGGAATGGGAAAATGGGCAGAGGAAGAGTTTTTTCCAATGATTTTGGGAGAGCTCAGGAATTTTGGAGGTTCTGGCCAGTAATCTTGCACTCTTCACAGCCTTGATCTCTTGAGGCTGTGCCAGCTTCGGCTTGTGAAACACCTTACCTTGATGTCCATTTGGGCACCAGCATCATTTGCAGAGGCATTTTCTCCCCCAGGAGATTCTGCAGAACAAAACAAGAGCAGAGAAACAGCGCCTGCAGTCTACACAGGCCCCCGGCAGCTCTTCTGCAACCTGCTAGCACACAGGCAGCCACGGCTGCAGGGGGCACCCAGCCTCCCCATGCACCCCTAAAGCAGGGGGGGTTGGGCACAGCTTCACATAACGCCCACTGAGGTCCCTGGCCCGGGGGACTACCTGGTTTCTGCTTCACATGGAGCGGGCTGGGAGGCACCTGGGCAGGAGGGAGGGGAATCCCATTGCTGATCTTCTGCAACAGAACAACATCAGAAAGGAGTGAGCAGAAGACACCGGAGACTGGGCAAGGCTGGTGTGCACGACAGAGGCTGCAGCCAGTTATAAATTTCTGGGTGTAACCCCAGAGAGAAACCCGGGGAGACCAGTTCATTAACTGGCTGGATGAGGCGGAGCACTCAGGCTCTCAATGACCTCTGCAGCTCTCGTGGATAGCAGGGGTGATGAGAGGTTTGGTGGGACACTTCCCTGTCCTCCTGCCCCTTGCTGGGTTGGTGCTGGAGCAGAGGGAGGTTGCTCACGCTGCGCTGAGGGCTCTCCCCACCATCTGCCAGCTCACCTGGGAACTTGGGCTGGTTCACCGTGAGACATCCATGGAGCAAATGCCCAAGTGTGTGCTATGGCCAGGGATTCATATGGAGCCGGGGGGTGGGAAATCATAGCAACATCAGAACAACCACGTGCTTCAAAAATCTCTCACAGGAAATAGGGGACTGAGTTGCACCTTTCCGCACTGGGTTCAGATGGAAAATTATTTATTTGGATCATATGTGGATATGCCTGTGGTGGAGATGGGAGATGAAGGAAGTATTCCTAAGTCAAAGGTGAGGGTTTAGGGCTTAGGCGCATGGCCTCAAAGCAAAAAGCGGTGCCTGTTTACGATATTACTATCCCACTGCAGGAGATTAACCTGCTCTCGCTCTGCTGGTGAACTAGAACATGTGAGCACTCCTCACCCGCTTCTGTGCTACATCTAGTGGCTGCAGATGTCACAGGAGCAGGCTGGACAAATACATGCCTCGAGCCCTCAAACTCATCATTGTGTTCCAGTGGCTCAACAAGTTACAGTGGGTCAGGAGAGCTGTGGCAGCCGCTCATCTTTGTGTGCTCCATCAGCCCACGGCAAGTAAGAGACAACACCACCTAGACCAGCCTGTGATGCAAGCCACTGTGGCTTGGGTATGTGTCCAAGCCCCCAGATTTTGCTGTAAGAGATTCGATGTACAGAAAAAAAATAAGCATTTTTCCTGCTCTTAATTCTTCTGTTGTTCAAGAGCACTCAGTCTTCACTCAAGGTGTCTGAGCTGAAACACTCTATGTTTCTCTTACACTGCCGTTCTACCCTGTGATAATCTTACAAACAAATGTCCCAAATGTATTTCTTGGTTCCTTCCTCACCCCTAGTTGCAAGCTTGTCAGCTCACCCATTTATCCATCTTTGAGGCAGGCTCCAGGAGAGAGCTCGGTATGCGCAGCTTCTGCAGGACACAAAGCAGAGCAGGGTGAGACAGGAGCTGCTGCTGTGGCAGATGCAGCCCCAGCCCACCCAGCCCCATGTTCTGCTAGCCCCACTCTGCACTGCTTCTGCCCTTGCAAAACATCACTGCCTGCTCACCCTACTGCAACATGGATGTGCCCATGGAGGGCCCAGGGTCGGGTATGGTAGCCTATGTGGTCTGTGCTCAGAAATTGCGGAACAAAATCCAAGGGTCCTTTTGCATCTTTTTCTGCTGAAAGCAGTGGTGCTAACCGAGTAGCTGCGATGTAACAGACCAAACACCCACCAAACCCAACACCCTGCTCCTAAAACGGATGCTTAGGGACAGAGCAGCAAGGATGTTGAGGGATACGAGTCCAGCAGCATGTCTGTGTCTTCTGACAATCACTGCTATAGAGCCATTAATTTCAACTGAACATTGTGAGTAATTATGCTTTCCCCCCCCCGCGCAGTGTCTATTATTTTACTTTTTTTGACTTTGAATTTCATCTGACACTTCACTGAGCAGTCAACCAGCACATTCAAATACTTCTGTAATTGTTCACTGTTAGCTCCAGGTGCTTCAGGCTATGCTGAATGGTTTGATTGTCTGTCATGAAACATGGTCATCTTAAGAAGCACTATATCACTACCCCTATTACTATATCACTTAGGAATATGCTAAATGCTTAGGTCACAGCAGATTCTCTGTGGGGACATCCTTTATTTAAAAAAAAGAAAGAAAGAAAAACCTGTTCATTTATGCCCACCCTTTATTTCTGTATTTTAACCTGTTACCAGTCCTCAGAGCACTGCCTCTCTTGCTCAAACAGCTCAGTTTTTTTAGTAGTCTTGTGAAGAATCTTTTTACTTTTTTGGGAAATACAGGCAGATAATACATTCACTTGCTCAATCTAATCCAGGTACGCACTGGCTCTTTCAAAGAACTGAAGTAGACACGTGAGAAATGGCTTCTGTCAACAAAAGATTTTCCATGTTGTCAAATTTATCTGTTTCTATTCAATCTGTTTACACTATAGTTCCCTAGTCTGCGGAAAGATGTCAGATTTGCTGGGCTTTAATCCCTTAGGTCTTCTCTAGAGCCCTTTATAAAACCGGCCTGCACAGCTGAAACCCTCCCAAAACCTTCCTGAAGTTAATTTAACAGAGGCACTACACACCAGGTAAGGACCGACCTGTCTCCTCAGCTCCATTAGAGCTCTCAGGTGACAAATACTGCTCTAAATAGTGGTCCTTGGTGAGGTCTGTTATCCTACACGATTCCACAATAGGATCCTGTATGGTGGAGAGCACAAGTGCCCAAAAAGATGCCCTTGTGGAGCTAGAGGTGAGTGGCAGAAGCTGGTGGGAGCCAAGTGTCAGAGAACTCTATGGTTAGCAACTGGTCTGTGGAAATGAGCTCCTGAACCCATCCTCTGCTCTGCAGGGCTACAGCTGGGCCCCCAAGGAGTGTGCTCAGAGGGTCGCAGCAAACTCCTGTTCACAGGCAGGGCTGTGGTCTCTGCTGGTGTGGATGGGCTGGAAAGCCCACCCGTTTTCCTTACCTGTCCATCGTGTATGGCTGTAGCCCAGCCATCCGCTTCTCTCGTCAGCACAAAGACCAAACTGCTGGCTTTCACTGCCGATTTCTCCGAGTTCTCAGGGTAATAATGGGACAAAACTCGATAGTAGCCTGACTGACTGTCTCTGGAAAGAAGGAATGAGAGCACCTTTACTAACCCTGGAGTTCTGGTGCTGGATGGCTTTGATCCAGAATACTGCACCATTCCAAACTGGCACATGCCAGAAGTTTCAGGTGCTGGGAAATTATGATTTCCATTGCTACTCTTTGGTCCAACTGGGAACAAAAGGAGCTTGGAAAACACCGATTTCCCAAATGCAACTGCCCCATTTTCATTATACTAATAAACATCCTCCATATCAAAACAATTATTAAACTCAGCCCTGAAGTACTGTTGGTACAATATCACCAAAACTTTCATGTTTTTTGAACCAGGGCTGATTTCGGCTCAACACAGCATGGCTGGGAGTGAGTATTTGGAGGCCTTGTCCTGGGAACTAGGATGGGAGAGCTGAGCATCCTCTGCCACGGACCAGGGGCAGGTCCCACAACCTCTCTCTGCTTCCATTCCCCAGCCATGGCATGACCCATGCCCGTCTCTCAAGGCTGTTGAATCAGCTCCTGCAAACTGCCCTGAGATCCTTGCATGAGAGGTGCTACTGCACGGCAGTGTCCTTGCAGCCGCACAAGCCTTTGCACGTTTGTCATTCACTCCACCCTTGGTGAGAAGTGGGTGTGGATCCCACAGAGTCTTCAGACAAAGACAGAGAGCAAAACATGACCTTCTGAACCGAAACAGCGAGAGAAGAGTTAGACCAGGGTAGAACTGAACACTTACCGCAGAGCATCAACACTGGGTTCATAAAAGCCCTGTTTCTGTGGGGGAAACAACATCATCTATTTATAATAGTGCCTTATATAGCAATAGTGCCACCTTATTTAACGTCCCTCTGAATACCACACTGTGGTATTTTGTCTTTACTTTTGACCACATTTGTCACACCACAGCACCCAGATAGAAATCTGCTGCTCCATACCTCACTGGGATGTACCTTCTATTTCTCCCCCTCCCTCTCCATCCCATCAGGAGGCGAGTAACAAAATCTTTTCCCCTACCCTTGGTTCTAAGAAACTCCTATTACAGTGCAAGCCAGCCACGCTTCTGCTGACGAATTTACTAAAGCGCTGAGCAAACGCATGTTGAGCATAGCTGTTTTGACATGGTGAAGAGACAAAAATGCATCTTCAAAGGGCTGGAGACTCACATCACTGAGTCCCTTCCAGCCAGTGCTGAAGCCCACCACCTGGCTTTGAAAGGCCCCGTGGATCTAGTCTGATATTGCACTGGTTTTTTCAATAATATGTTCTTGCCCTGACGGTGTTAGGATCTGAGGCCCTACCTGGAGCTCCATGACAGCTCCGTTCCTCCTTTCACAGCTATGTCTCGCTCACCTGAGGCCTGAGAGGCTCGAAGCCAATGTACTCGTCATTGGGAATGATGGACGAGATCACCTGTCGGAGGACAAAGTAATGACTGAATCCAGGCTGGATGAAGAGACTCTCAAACTTCATGCAAGGTTATCTACTCAGACCCGTTTCCTTCTGACATCCTAAAGTCAGACATAAAGTAGAGCCATGCACATAGTGGAAAAAGCAGAGCTGGATTCCCAGAAGAGCTTCAACTGTTGTTGTCCCTGTGTTTTTAGTCTTTCCAACGTTTCTTTAAAAGTATGCGAATGAATTACTTTCCCTTCCCTTTATTCGTGTCAGAGCTCTCTGGCCTGTGGCACTTCTCCTGACTGCATGGGTCACAGAAGGGATCAGAGGAATTCTCTGCTGACTTGCGTTAAAGGACGTGCCAAAGCATTTGTCTCCCAATTGCCTGCCTGTCCCACCGGGAATGCAGCAGCGAGTAGGAGTGCGCTGGAGGAATGGGCTCCTCTTGAAAATGTTGTTGTCAGCAAAAGGACAACCACAGGGTTCCCCGACTACCTGCTCAGCTTTTTCAGAGTTTGAAGTGACCAAGATTGGGAAGGTTTTTTTAGCACCAAAATACAGTTTTGATAGAAGAGGTGGCAATCCTTACAAATTTCAGCTTCTGTATCCCAGATGCCTTGACTGGCTGCAAGCCCTGACAATCCTGCTCTTGGGTCTCCACCAGTGGAGCGGCCAACAGTAATGCCCTCTGGAGATGTCAGAAGGTGGGATTTTAATTTGCTTGCTGTTAATCTTAACAAACACATGCCTGTTACCTTGGGTTTACCCAGGAAATCTTTTGAATCCAGCTGTTCAACTTCCTTCTTTCGTGGTCTGAAAAATTCCCCAAGAGGAACCTGCATGGGCTCCAAAAACAGATGGTCCTAGGGCAGGGAAAGCAGATAAGGGAAAAGCCATCAATTAATATTAAATGAAATATAACAGCAGGGAAAAGCAAGTATAGCTTCCCGAGGTGTGCAAGATCAGCTCCAGGAAGACATTGGGGCAAAAATTATGGCTGTGAACTTGAAAAATGGCATGCAAACTAAGAGCTCAGCAGCCACTACCCAGTGTTGAGTCAAAGACTAACTCTGTTGGCATGGGAAGGGAGGGCAGTGGAGTAAGGTTTATTAAACAAATCTCTAAGCAGTTTTTCTATGTGACATCAAATGCTGTTTTTTTCTCCTCTGTTCAACCACTGAGTAACATGCTGATAGCAAATATAAATAATACACTAATGTAAAGCACAAACATGATGCTAGAAGAGATGATCAGATTTAAAAAACGCGATCATCCCTTAGAAGGGATACAAATAAGATAAGGAAGTACGGAGGTAGCAAAACAATGAACCCTCCAGGAAGAGTAAATCAGAGATCTGCAAGTTGTTCGTGGTCATAAAAGAGTCTAACAAGAAACTATTATTTAGAACCAACCCTGGAAACACTTTTACGCTCTACTTAAGCTCTAAATGTGACTGTCGTTAATATCTGAGCTGCCACCAATTGTCACTGAGGCCAAAGGGACTCAAAAAAGTCAGCCAGCGTCATGAAAAGGGAGACCCTCCAAATCTGCACTTGTAGGGGTTCTGCACTTAAACACTGCATAAGGCAACTTGTTTTACAGTACGCGTATGAATAGAACTAAGCCCCTGAACAGCAGGGACTAGAAAGTAAACTCCCCAACCTGAGAGGTTATCCCATAATTCTCAACTATGGTGTTTCTGTGGTGTGAAGCACCGGGGGGTGATGGAGTTACTTGATTAGTTGAAGCAGTAGTTTGGTAGAGCATCACATGCAAATGGCTTAGACTCTGCTACCAGGTCACCGAGCAGGCAGGTAGACAGGAAAACCCAAACATACAACAATTAGCACATTCTTATCTTGTATTTCGTAACTTAAGCCCAATGCACATACTTAGGAACTCATAGAGGTGGTCTTACCTGCACCTGCTCAAGGGCCAGGTCCAGGATTGCTGTTCTTCCTTCAGGTCTCCATACAACAGCCTTCTCTAGGGTGACTCTGGCCTCCTGCCACTGCTGCAGCCGGCACTGTGCTGCTGCAGTGCTGTACAGCACCTGGAGCGGGCAAGGGGGGAGCAGAACTCAGAGGGCTGAGGCTGAGCACACACACCCTAACCCTAACCCTAACCCTAACCCTAACCCTAACCCCTAACCCTAACCCTAACCCTAACCCTAACCCTAACCCTAACTTCAAACTGTGCTGCTGCAGTGCTGTACAGCACCTGGAGCGGGCAAGGGGGGAGCAGAACTCAGAGGGCTGAGGCTGAGCACACACCCAACACGACTTGCTGAACTCAGCCAAGAAACAGGGACCAGGCACTGAAACACCACAGATACAGCAGCAGCACCAGTCTACTCCCCACTGGCCACAGGAAAGGCGTTCTGAGCAGCACAGTTGAAAAAACTTCATAATCAGAGTGGAAAGAAATAAAAGCTGTGCCTCCAGGCTAATTCCTGGGTGTGCTAGAGTTGCTAGCTCTGCTCAAGGTAAGGTGAGGCATGGGGAATACCAAATGAAGATTCTAGTACCATGCAAGGTTTAATCTTATCCTTCCTGCACCTGAAAGACCAGTAAGGATTTTCTTGGCAAGTTGCATGGGTTTCTTTCTGTATGCAATTAGGTAATATTTTTTGCTGTGCAGAGTAATTCTGACTCCCTTTCACTGCAAAATAACTTAACTGAAACTATTTCATATTGTAGGGGGCTGTGAAAGTGCAAATTGTCAGCTGTAGCTTGTTACTCTTTAGCAGCATGTAAGTATGTTCAGTGGTGAAGTGGCAAAGTGTGGGAGTGTTACAGACTGGGTGTTGGGAAGCCTTGATCTATATGCTGAATTAGGAGTGGGAGCTCTCTTCTTGTCACTGGCCAACAGTCAGTGCATAGAAAAGCTGCTGGCCTCCAGGGCAGAAGTGTGGCCTAACAGACTCCCTGTCGGGCATGTTGCTATCTTATACGATAGGGTTATCAGCTTGTAAACTGCTTTGTGGCATCTGGATGCAAGCTGGTGCAGCTAACAGGATGCTTTTCCTTCACTCCTTAATCACGACAGTAGAAGACTGCTGTTAGGGGGGTGGAGGGGAATGGTCATTCTGAACATCCACAGGAACTGCAGAGACGCTCGCTCTTGGAAAGGCAAGGCAGCAGTTCTCACTCAGCTCAGGAGCAAGTATTTCTGGATTTTCAAACCATACAGCACACCTCCTCCCCTTGAGAAGATCAGGTGCAGCATGTGAGAGGCCATGTGTGGGGAAAGCTGATGGCACAGTTCTGCAGGAGGATTATGTTTGTGTATTTTGAAAAACGAGCTGCAGGTACATGTAAGAGCGAGATAGAGTCGAATCAGGATGCAGATCCTGAGTCCGGAGTGCCAGCACAGTGAGCACGCGTGTCTTGGCAATGTGGAGTGAGGGCCTGTGTGTTCACACCAGAAAGGGTAGCAACCACCTCCCGATGGCCTCGGGCACTCCTGCAGCCCTGCACCTTTCAAAGGGGAACCTATTGTTTCTAAGTTTGTGTGAGCTCAGAGAAGGCAGTGCTGTGTCACTGAAACTGTTAAAAACAATGAGGTTTGGGTAATACCACAGATGCCAAGGATAGCTTCTTCCTGCCAGGTACAAGGTGCATGAAAATTGATCGAGACTGAAGGACGGGTTTCTGGTCACGCTTGACTTGAGTTACACAATGACTCCTCATTCTTGTGGAAGTAAAGAATTAAATACTCTTTCC